TCTGTGAAGAAAAGTCCATGTGGCTGTACCCAATATTTCTTTGCCAGATCTTTTTGAAGAAGAGTGTACCTCTGTGTGATGCTCTTCACTATCTTCAAATTCAATCGGCTTCAGCTTGTCAAGTTCTCCGCTAAACCGGCATAAAGCCATTGAAATGCAGAAGATAAGGGGGAGGACCACTAACATGTAATTCATTATATCGAAAAATTAAATAAAAGATCGGCAAAAGGGATTGCTTTAAAAGCTATTTATCAATAGTAGTAATCACTGTCGAATAATCATGGAAACGATGGATATTCTTATTGGCGATAAATTGGTGAAATTGCAACCAATCCGGTTCCCAAAAAGGTGTCAATTTACAAATGAACTTAAATTTTATTAAGCCGTGCCAAGTCAGCCTTCTTCCCTGATATCGGTCAACAGTGTTTCCAGCTCTTCCAGCTCACTGTCAATATGAGAATGGCGTGCAGAATTTTGGCAACTTTCCATGAGGAAGTTTGAGTCGATGGCAGACGATGGCATTATTGATATTGAATTTAGGTCTGGATTTGACATCGGTTGGAATGAAAGTCCAATTCCATGGTTTAGCCCTTTCATTTCACACGGGATGCCTTTGGTAGAAAATGCTCTTGACCATCTACTGGCATGTTTAATTTGAGCGTACCTGGTATTTGGAAGAAATTCAAACTCAAATGACGAGTCAAGCATACCAATAAAAAAGCGAAAATCAATTGGTGTTTGTTTATTGCTATGTTTTTCCCAATTTAGATATGAGCCTACTCTAGGCACAGGTTTTAATTTGTAAATGCGGTTAGACGAATATTTTTAATGCAAGAAGCATGGCCACATCAATGGCCATTGATCTCACAAGAATTAGGCCGCAGGGTTAGGGTTTGATGGTGGGCTGAGTTGAGGCAATTTTTTGTTTTAAATTTTCAATGTTCAAGTTAAATTTGTCGTTTCCGTTTCGCTCATTTTCATCAAGCAGTAGGTTAGTCGACGTTGTTGTAATTGGTGGGGGCCATGCTGGAGTCGAGGCTGCAACCGCTTCTGCACGGACCGGTGCATCTACCGTGCTTCTCACGCAGCGAATCGATGCAGTTGGAGAACTAAGCTGTAACCCTTCATTTGGCGGCATTGGGAAAGGCATCCTGATGAGGGAAATCGACGCTTTAGACGGAGTATCGCCAAAAATTTGCGGTATTTCGTACCTTTTTATTTTAGACCGTTCTGGTATCCATTTTCGTGTATTGAATGCATCCAGAGGGCCTGCAGTCCAAGGACCTAGGGCCCAAATCGATAGGCTTTTATACAAAAAGTACATGATGGATCACCTATGTGGCTATCCAAACTTGAACATTATTGAGGGTGCAGCAAAGAATCTTTTTTTTAATGGAAATGCGATCGCTGGAGTATCCTACACTCATGCCAGCAATGAGACTCTAATCTCAGCCAAAAGCATCGTTATAGCAACCGGCACCTTTCTTTTCGGGGAAATTCACATTGGCGATAGGTCATACCCGGCCGGAAGAATGGGCGAATCTCCTTCCCATGGTCTTTCTGGTTCTCTTTTTTCTGCTGGGTTTAAGCTTGGAAGGATGAGGACAGGAACCCCGCCACGTCTTTTAAAATCATCAATTAATTTTTCTTCTCTTTTCCAGCAGGAAGGTGACAA